GATGGCGCTGTAGAACAATTTTTTGAAAGCACTGTTCTATAACGCTGCGCACGCCTAAGTTCGTTGATTCTGATTCTGTCAAAACATTGGAACAGAAGCGATACAGCAACATAGTACTAATTAGTACTACAACTACCAAATTCTACGCGGGCGAAGCCGCGGGCAACAACTAGTTTAGAATATTACCAATAGTAAATAAAAATTTATTTTTTGAAAACTTGGAAACAACAACTCAAAATTTGAAAACTCATCAATTCTCTTTACAGTATGTCTATTCCAATGATTAAATGAGTCTACACCTCTCGAAAAAATCAATTCATCATTGATTTGTTCACTTCACTATAATTATAAAAAAAACATATGTACACCACTTTTTTTTTCCAGAATAAATGTTGATATTGGACAGATTGCCAATTTATAGACATACTAGCGACCTGCCCCGGAAATTTAAGCCGCGACTGGCGCCCCAATTGGAATGTTTGAAAATCGTTTTTTATTGCACATCTACAACATGAAACAAACCTACATACGAAATTTCAGCCTTCGAAAATATAGCGATACGGAGAAACAGTGATGAAAAGTAATTTCTATATGTTAACGCGCCATTTTTACCCCCACGGGCCCTCCCCAGGTGAAATATTCGTAAATTATTTCTTAGTGCGCATCTAAGACCTAAGAAGCTCCTAGGTATATATCTTTTATCAGAAATTGTTGCCCCAATCGATTTCTCACACGAGTACTTTCATTCAGAAAATTGTCTGAGTAACCTGATTTTGTTGAAAAATATTGACAAATATCTGTCATTTCAAAGTTTTGGGGTGTGTATCATCGGGCGTGGTCCATTTCTGACTTTGCAGCACACCGACTCCTGCATGAAACTCATCAAACCAATTCATTTGTTCAGTCAATCATCAAAATTTGGTTGATTTTGAATATTCACTCGAAAATTTATCACAGAAAAACATTTTTCAATTTGCAACTTTGAGGGCCCGTAACTTGGTAACGAAGGATTTTAGAAACAAAAGTTATATGAAGTAATCTGACCACATCTATACATTCCCGAAAGAAAAGAGGAAGTCCAGGGATACCCTGTAAAATAATAAACAACTACTCTATGAACAAAACGTTCGAAAAGCATGAATAACGAATTGAAGTAACAGAATTTCATTTAAATTCACACAAAATCATCTAATGATTATACTAAACATGTTTCTAGAAATGATATGAAATCTAGAAAGGTTAATGCAGTCAAGCTGCTGGAAAATAATTCCATGAAAATCAAAACATAAATAGATATAGCGTTTCATTTGAAATAATCACTATCATCAGTGACAACAATCAAACAGAAAAACAATTCATTTTATCATGAACTTTTGGGAAAAATGAAACCAATACGGAAAATCAAAGCTATATGGCAATCTATATTAAATGCTCGAATTGATGACCTCTTTGTTGAATGCACATAAGTTGTCGGTCCAGACAATTTCTGTGGCAATTTTCTAGCATAATAGGTGTGATACTAATAAATGCATCTCTTATTTTTTGTTTGAGATGGTCGATATCTGTACTTGGTGTTGAAAAAACGTCATCCTTTATGTATCCCCAGACATAAAAATCTAAAGGAGTAAGATCTAGGGATCGAGCTGGTCAGTTGATTGGTTCATTGTTTCCAATCCATTTTCTTGGGAATATTGCATCTGAATGTTCCCTTACTATTGCTGCATTATGGGGAGGAGTGCCATCCTGTTGAAAATATAGTATTTCATGGCGGATATTCAGTGGCAATTCATCTAAGTAGCCATCGAATTCATTGAATATAAAATGAAGATGCATTTCACTATTCGAATGATCATTGTACAAGAAAGGGCCAAGAATGTTTGTTCTCACAATTCCCAACCAAACATTTATTTCAAACCTTTCTTGGAAATTGGTTTTCCTATGTAAATATTCATTTGTATTATTCCACCTATAATGGATATTTCTGTTAAACCAACCATTGTTGGTGAATTTTGATTCGTTCGTCAATATTTTTTTTTATAAATATATCCAACTTCCCTTTTTCTACGTCTTAACCACTTCGCAAATCGTACTCTCCTTCCGTAATTCCTTTCATTGAGGTGATGATCTTTGCATATCCTCTAGCATTTATATTTGTTTTTTTGTTTTTTTTTTAATAGTGGTGTATTTTACAGAAATCCCCATTTCGTGGTCAATTTCTCGTAAAGAACAATCTTGATTAGCATAATTTTTTCAACTGACCAATCCTAAATTGCACACGTTTGAAATGAATTGGCACATCTGTAGGTATATTAGGGATTAGTGATAGAAATATATTTTCCCCTTGGAATTTGCCATGTAAAATGCTGGCTTCAACAACGTTTCTCATTGATTTTATAATGACTAATCACGTGCCATTTCACAGCCGTGGTGGATTAAATCATGCGGTGGCATGCCATTGAGTCGAAAATCTCTCTATTCTGGTAGAGAGGACAAGACGTGTCTACGTACCGGGAGAATGTGTCATCTGAAGAATGTGTTTCTGTGTAAAGGATATAACGAGGCCGAAATCAACCGAGTCTTATGACTCTTAAATAAGCGGTGTGATGAACCGAATTGGCAGGATCCTCGAAAAATGTGCAGTTAAGGCCATTTTCAAGCCTACAAAAACGATAGAGAATGATTCCAGGTCAGCAAAAGACCCCAGGGATCCATTAAGTACTTCAGAAGTATATCGATTACCATGTATTTGTGGTTCATTCTACATCGAAACCACGAAAAGAAGCTTCATAACGCTCTTGACTAAGCATGAAAGAAGTTGCCACCATGGCCAAACAGTTTAATCAACAGTTGCAAACCAAGCACTCTGAATGGGCAGCCATGACATTACTATAAGGGACTATACAGAGGGGCCATTGTTTCAATCTAAAAGCAATTGATCAAATCCTGCGAAACGTGTTGCGGTTTCGTAAACCTTTTACACTGCAGATCAAAATAAATCTCATTAGTAAGTTTAGATGGCAATTATTCAAACCATTAAATAGCAGATGTGGTCCTTTAGAACGACTGATTAGATCACTAAATATGATACTTGTTTACCTAAATTTTAATCCGACCTCAATATCTTGCATTCAAAAGTTAAGGAAGAGGGGGTACCATATATCTATTATGAACATGATTATATTATTTTGTACATATTTTACTAGATTTTGTATTCTGTTGATAAAGCCCACTTTGATTTCAAATAATATATTCCAACTTTTGGTTATTTTTTTCAAAGTTGTATGCAAAATTGCTCAAAAAATGTACAAACCTTCATCGCAGACTTCACAATTCCATGTGCTTATTCCGTTATTTTTATCTTGTTCTGAACCATAATTTGTCTTCGGATGATTAACCAATTCAGTGGTTGTTGGGAAACTGTCACCACATTTTCTATGTGTGTTCGCTTCATCAATTTCTTTGTTACCATTTACGGAAACTATTACTGAATTTTGATTTGAATTAATTAAAACAATTTTCTCAAGTCCCTCTGAAGAATGTTCTCTGCTTCCAGTTTCGATCGTGCTGTTAACATCTTCAGTATTATCACAGGTTTCTTCTAAATTTTCAACATTTTGCTGAGTTGATGAGATGTGGTGAAGTTGTTTATTATTGAGTTTTGCTAATTCAATAAAGTCCAAAGTATTCTGCAGCTTCTCGATACATTCACAGCATATGTGTTTGAGAAGGTTGTCTACAGGTGATACCTGCAAAAATATGAAATCAACACTATTCGTGAAAAATATATGATGAGGAATTGAAACGCCTATGGATTGAGTGCGGTCAGTTATCGTGAATAATCATATAATAGTCATATAATATATAAAACTATAATATTTCAAGGTGTCAAAGTTCAACATACACTGAAATAATCTTTGATATGATGCATATGTGTTAGAGCCAATAATTACTCATTCTGACGAGCTGAGTATATTCTGATGAATGTTCATGAGTATTTCAAAGTTGTTTTATGTCATGGACCGGTTTGTAGAGAAGGCAGGTGCAATTCATGAAAAGTCATGAGACCTTTCCAACCAATATAAAATAATCATGAAATGATACTGAAGTGATAATTTAAATAAAATCTGTTTTACGTTAACCAGCTGTTGCCCTCCGAGCGACAATCCTCAGAAGTCGAAAAAACTTGTGCGAGCTATGCGAGCAAAAGTGATTAAAATACAGGTGTGTCTGCTTCTTAAGTGTGTCACACTGTATTAGATGATATCGTTGGTGTTGAATACTATAGAAATTAGCCGAAACCTTTCATTGAATATTTTATGGAGGGGCTACTTTTTCAACTTTCTGCTTCTCTATCATTGAACAGAAAATGTGAGAAACTTCCAAAGAGGGGAAGAGAGTAAATGACTACAATGAAATCTTTTGTTGAAGGAATTTTATTGTAATTATTTATTTTCTTAGTTTCTTTACATAGACATTTTTTGTTATTTCCTTTGTTTTTCCCAGAAAGATTTTATTGTAGACAGTTTGTTTCTTCCTTCCTTTGAAAGTTTCTGACGTTTATATTTTCAATGATGGATAAGTAGAAAGCCAATAAGCTTTTTTTCAAAAAAATGGTATAAGAGGTGTTATTCATTGGATAAACATAAAGATCACATTTGATTGGAATACCACATTTGAAAAATGTCATTTGGAAGGGACTCCTGAAGTGAATCAAAATTAGTACTACATAATACATCACAATTTTCTCTCTCTATTTTTATATCCCTTATGGCCACTTGAAATTTGAGGCATGTCCAGGTTTACATGTATTCGATAGTGAACCCAGGTATTCATAATAATAATAATAATAATAATATTTATTCATCCTCAAAGACGTTGACAAACGTATAGGATAGGTCAGTATTAAGCACATAAAAATCACATCAAACGATAAAATTGTANTCGATTCAATTCCAGAAACCGTGCATACGGATGATCTATTGTCGCCAAAATGGTCTGCTAAGCTATTTTCTACCACTGAAGAGGAATAGTCTCCAAATATGTTCGCAACATGATCTCTTTCTGTGATTACTTTATTATTATAGTTGAGAGTAATATCTCTTTGAATTTTTTTTCTGTTCGTTTCTTTGTTAACTAGGTTCCAAACTGTTCTATTTTTATTGTTAGAATTCTTAATTACATTTTCGTAAAAATTCAACTTTGAAGCTTTTATTAATGATTCATAGTCTTTCTTCGCTTTTTTGTATGCAGCACGAGAATCTTCGTTGCCTATATTCTTACATAACCAATGCATACTTTTTAAATCAAGACTGGCCTGTTTTACTTCAGGAGTTATCCAGTTATGTTTGTTACTAGTGGACGATTTGTGTTTTTTGGTCGGACAACATTTATCAATAGCATCACTTATAATATTCATGAAAGCCAGAAAGCTCTCATCTATATCAGTTTTGTTATATATTACATCAAAACTGGTTTTGGACAATGTCGAGGAGAGTTGTTTCAAGTTATGCTCTGATACATCTCTATATCTACATAACATAAGATTGTTCAATAAGTTTAGATTTTTCTAATGGCATATTATAAGTAACTGTGAATACTTTGTGATCACTGAAACTACCTTCATAAACATTAGATTTGCAAAACATGTTCTCAACGTTTGTTAGTATGTAATCGACTTTAGTAGATGAAGTTTTCCCTGACTGGTTGGTAAAAACTCTAGTAGGAGTCAAAGATGTCACTTGTAAATTGAAATTGAGTAGTAGTTCATCTAATTTGATCTTTTCAGTAGTATTTTCTAGGTAATTGACATTCAAGTCGCCACAAACAAAGATATCATCAGCATAGCCTACACTATTCTCTAATATGCATAATAATTTATGCAAAAACGTATCAAAGTTACCGTTTGGAGATCTATAAATACTAAGTATACAAATCTTTCTGTCCTCTATAACTAATTTTATCCCACTGCATTCACAATGGATTTCTTCGGACCATCTCCCAAAATTTAGGCTCCGCAATACATTGGATGATGATGATGCATAAATTCTGTCTGTCTTGTCATCTCCGGTGACGTCACGCAAACAGTGTTGTCGTTCAAGTCAGTGGAGGGTAGTTGGCTTGATTATCATGAGCGAAGGTAACGGCCACGGTGCATCGTGACAATATTATATCTTCATTTCATAATTAAACATACCAAAAAAAATTCACAGCATAGTATTGTACTGTATTATCTGTTTTTCCGTTAATCAGCTGTCGCCCCCATACGAACGACAACTCTCAGAAGTTGAGTAACTTGTGCGAGCTAAGGACCAAGCCAACATACACTTAAACAAACTTACTTCAAATAATTTTGTAACAGATTCACTAATTAAACAATATTTGTATGTTAATGTAAAATATGAATGCGTAATATACGTAAAAAGTATATGCCAAAATAAAAATTTTAGGGATTGGTTTATCTATACAATTATGTATGAATGTATGGAAAGTTATATATCTTAGATACTGGTAAAAATGTGTGTCAACTGGTATCTTTGCAGAAAAGATGCAATATTGATATATAATTGACTCAATCTCTACTATAATAGTTCTTAGATTTCCCTGACTAAAGTTCTACTTACCGGTAAATTAGTTATGTTCCTGAATACATTCACCAATTGTTGATGTTCATTAAAAACTTTCAAGTTCTTTTTTGCAAGACACAGCCGGCAAATGTAAGGGAATATATTAGTAGTTTTGCCTTCATGTTCATTGCAAAGTGAGAGATTTCTTTTCGATTGATTATTTTTCGTCTGGCAAGCAAAATCATTGTGTTCCTCAATCTTAACAGAAATACCATCATCTACAATCATAATTTCACTTTGATTTTGTAAATAGAGGTCCACTTCTTCTTCGAAGTCTTTTAAAAGGGTTGTATTGGTTGATTTTGAAAGACAGATAAATGCCGATATTTCTTTAATTTTGGTTAAACACTTCTTACATATATTTTCTGGGAGGCTGTCGTGCGATTCAATCTGTAAAAAAATATAGTTTTGGTTATAATCCCACAATACTCATCAAATTATTACTAATAAAGTGAGAAATGTGATACTTTTTTTTCTACTACTTGGGAGCCGTCCGAATTGTCTGTTTCTCCCAAGTTTCTAAAAAACATTGCAGTCTCATGGACTTTTAGCGTTTATCCTCATCTTTTTCATGACACCCGTTCCAACAATCTTGTGGCCTGTAATAGTTTGTACAGGTCCCTTGCTGCTAAATTCAGTTTAGAAATAGTTTGGAAAAGGTATTTATATAACAAAATTCATTCATTCATATAATAAAATTTATTATTATGAATTTCCACATTTTAATAATTCAATTTTATTAATTGATGTTTATGGAAGGAAGATAGCTTCAACATCAACAAGACATAGATATCGGGCCTTTGAAACACAATGATTCTCCCATTAATTGAAGACTGTTGGGACCAATCACGTACAAGAGCAGTTGGTCATCCAACACCTAGTACAATTATAAGTACAAACGACCCAGAACCATTTTCAGTTTGCGCATGGCAGCAAGTATGAATATTGTCCAGAGGATATTACAGGCTTTCCATCGTGATCCTTGCCAAGTTGACAAACACTTCGGTTTAAGTCTGCAAACTCTCAATCTATAGTGACCACAGAAGGGGTGACATTACCCCACCGTGGGGGTTGCCCTTGGCAACCATGACCTAATGGTCTCATCTTGAAGAGTCATATTATTTGCTTTGTTTACGAGTATGGCATAGATCCAGCCAGTTACGCTGATCGAACAGATTTTGGTAGGGCTCTTTTCACCATCTAGAAATATGGGCACTGCATTCTTCTTATTGTACTCTACTCTATTGTTGAGAGTTCGGGTAATTTTCTCTACAAGATATGTGATGGAATTGGCCAATACTTGATGAAAATCCATAATGTATTCAAGTCACACTTTATTGGAAGATATTCACTGAACAGTTTATTGGAGTATACCCACGCCTGAGGATGTTCATACAAGGAGTATGAATATGCCTGACGTTCGATATGCATTCTGGTGGTTGTTCAGGAGGAATAAATATGAGGCAACTCGCCTAATATGTCCATCCAGTATCCCTCCAAGACCTTTCAGTCTGAAAGATGTCAGGGTGAATAGGTCATATTGATTTAGGGTGTGGTTTTTTTTGTACCACCAACTGGTTGGTATGTAGTTCCATGCTATACTAGCTCTAAACTAGTTTAACAGAACGGTAAAAATATTTCCAGTCTGTTTTAAATCAAAGCTGGAAATATACCATCCTCTCCCAGAAAAGCGTACTTCAGTGTTTGATGTTCTTCCACCTACATATTCTGAAACTTCTGTTTTGGTCGTCACTTTGTAGCAATAAATGATACATTTTACTGCAAGATTTTACTCTAAGAGTTTTACAAAAGCTGCGACACACGTTTTGCTATACAACAGTTTCCTTATGTAAGAATATTTAATGACTTATACAACTTATACAACCATTTTACACTCTCCAACCTACAATTCAATCAGGCAAATAATTAATTTAACTATCTGAAAGACCAAATAATTTACTATAACATGTTCAATAAAAATCTCACAATGAAGTGTTTCTCGACAAGGTTATTAAATGCATTCTAGTGGTTGTTCAGAAGGAACACATACAAATCGATTCGCCTAATATGTCCATTCAGTATGCCTCTACTTTCACTATAATTTAGTAAATTCCAGTAAAACCAGGTAAATAAAATTAATGATATACTACGCGCCAACTAAGATGATATTTTGATGCGCATTTAAAACCAAATTGTACCCGCCTCAGAAGATAGCTATTGGTCGCACAAAGTAATGTCAATAGTACATTGGCGAAATATGACTCAAGTGATCAGAGTCTTTTAACACAGAACGATTTTATATTTCTGTGCTGACTCATCTCAGATGGTGCGTACTATCACATAGTCTTTTATTCCAGGTATGATTTGATGGTAAGAAAATATGAAACAGAAGCGATTTATTCAAATCAATTTGGTGGTTTATAAGATATCGTGATATTTTGAATTTATTGATTTCCATACTTTCCAGAAGGTGAAATTTCGACTCTTTCTTCGGGAAATGAAGGGTTTTGGAATTCGTGATTGAACTCATGTCCCTCTATTAGGGAGGTGAGTAGCAAATGTTGAACCCATTTTTCTATTCTGGAAGCTGTTTCTATGTTCTTTCATCCGTGTTTTAAAGATCCTTTCAGTTTGACCTATATGAAACATCACATGATCCACTCCTTATCAATTTGACACCTAACTCTTGTCTTTGTTATTTACAATATACATGCTCAGGTTATTATTGATTTTATAGACCGTGTTTACACTTTTATTTTGTAAGAACCTAGAAATATTTATGTGAGGTAGACCCAACGTAAATGCTTTGTAATTTTCATCCTCTTCTATTATGGCTTGAGTATAAAATGTTTTGGACAATGATGTCGCATTCAACAGTATGTTTTACATAGAACATTTGAAGCACAAAGCACGCATAAAAGACCTTGAAAACAGCTTCCAGAATGGAAAAATGAATTGAACGTATGCTGCTCACCACCTTACAGAGGGACATGAATGAAACCCTAAATTCAAACTTTCAATTTTCAGAAGAAAGGTTTGAAACGCAACCTTCTGGAAAGCATGGCAATCAATGAATTTGAAAATTTACAATATCCTATAAACATCCAAATTGATTTGAATTAACCGCTTCTGCCTTATACTTTCTTACCAGCAATTCATACCTAGAATGAATGACTGTATTATCGATTTTTTAGCTATTTTTGCTAGATCACAGTAAATTATTGATTACATCTGGTCTTTCGTACACTTGGATTGATTAAATATCTAATTGAAGTGTAGATAGTAACCAACAGTGGAAAGTATGAAATTATTGTAAATTATAACTGATTCAATATTCTCACCTGAGAAAGCAATTGTATTGTAAAACTTGTTTTTTGAAGTTTTTGTAAAACTCTTATGGTGAAAATCTTGCAGTAAATTGTATTAGTGTTAACATAGATTTTCATTAAGAATCGGATAGTTCTAGGTGATTCTTCGTAACCTGGTGATTTTTCCAGTTTTAACTGCTCCATTATAACAACCTGCCTAGTTGTTCATTGTAACAGCTTGTTTAACCTTACACGAACAAATTAAAAATACATGTACTATCATGGATTCAAGCACCATGTCTAACATTAGACTTCACGTCTTTCCATAGGAGTGTCTGTTCGAAATGTTGATTACAAGTTGAAATGGAATATAGAATCATTCTAACATATTTAATGTTCCCTGATAGTTGAATTTCATTGTCTTGAAGTTTTCAAGATCCTTATCTTGGTCTTCTTGATGAATTCTACTGGGGTCAATTTGGATGAGATTGGTGAGCCCTTCTTCCTTGGTCCATCTTGTTATAATGTTCATTGCCTACTGTTTCAGTCTCTTCACTATGTTATATTTGCCCTGGACAAAGGTGACCGAGTTGTCTACATCCCTAACAATCGCTGGTTTCAAGACCTTTATCGAATTCTATTTGATTTTAACAGGTTTAGAAGTGAAGGTGGCCCTAATGAAATCTTCATGTTTAAAGTAAGTATCCCAGAGATAAAATTGCTCTGAGAATTGTGACTTCAGCCGTGAAAGCCTGTATGTTTATGTTACACACATATTTTGAAGTACAAAAAAACTATCAAATATCAAATTCAGTACTACTTGTTTTCTCAGTGTACCACTTGCTAGTACAACTTTTACTAAAATTTAAATTACAGTATTCATAAAAAAAAGGGGTTGAAAATTTGAAGAATCAAAATGAATGTAATAACATCCTACGAAAAGAAAAGGTAGAATGAATATGGTAAAAGACAAGAAGGATACAAAATGCCTTGTTTTATAAATACAAGATTGCTGTACAAAAACTCACATTTTTTTATTTAATATTTACAGAAAAATATTTTCAACTTTGGAACAAAATAGGCAAAATAGCATTATCATTTTGAATAATAATTACTCATATGCCCATTGATAAGAGATTTCACATCCAAGTTGACGTCTTCAGGAGATGAAGAAAACTAAAGACGCCAATTTGGCTGATGAAACGTGCTTCGAGAAGAGTATTGCATTTCTGATGATTGGGAGAAGTGCTTGTTCTTGGATGTATTCTACGCTAGAGGTATCAGTTTTAACTTTTAATAGAATTTTCTCACTCTCTAAACACGTGATATGTTATAGAAAACGGTAGGTACTCACCTGAATATCAGTTATAGACGTGAATAAATATAATAACGATGTTTCCTCAGAAAACGGTATCACTTCAGTATCCGCTAAGCAAATTCTACAAATTGATGGGAAATCTTTCGGGGAGAAAGACATGTTTATAAAAATTTGAGAAGTTTGTTTACTATACTCCAGTCGACACCGACACTAAACAATCACAGTATCTACTCTTTACTTTTACTTCGACATAATAAGCACAGTAGAAAATACCACTGTGAAATATACTGTGACTGTGTTATAAGTTAATACATTTTTAGTATAATTGACTCGGGCACAAGTATTTGGCATTATATTTGTGACACAGAATATGTAGTATTCTGTGCTTGTGATTCAGGTTTCCTATACTGTGACACAGAATAATAAATTATTTATTGTAGTGGTTGAGGTTGAGGAATAGTTAGTCACAGAATAATAAATGATTCATTATTCTGTGACTGTGTCTAACCTTTGAATATAGACTAATCGAAAATTCTTTATATCGGACCTTACAAACCGTACCGCTTGTTCATCAAATCTGAGATTAAGTGACAAATTTCTTCATCTGATTTTATGAAGCAAAGTTCATTACTTTTGAAATTAACATTTATCATTGTTATGAATTAGTTCATTTGAAATAATTTAATTTTCACCCAGTAAACCATGCGCTTTATTACAAAGCCATACATAAACAAAAATCTAGTAGGTGGTAGAAAAACTGGCCTCATTTCCATAATCATTAATAATAAATCAATTTTCTCTAGGAACTATTTAAACAGAATACATTTTCACCTGAAATGATTTATTTTATAAATATATAATATCCCTCTGATTATCAACTAAACCAACCGCCACTGTTTTATGGTCCAACTTACTTCCCGTAAACAAAGTTATGCTGCCTTCAATGTAAGGATG